TCCTACAGCTTGTCTTATTGTACTGGACCGATCTGAATTACCTGATAAAGTTTGTTTAAATGCTGCTGCTATTGCTCTTTGCAACAAGCTGCTAAATGAGACGTTCACGTTCAAATGATGTCATTTCAAGAGCGTTATCAAGTTACAAACTGGATTCCAAAAACGTTGGGACACTAAACAAATTGTGAATAAAAACTGAATGCAATGATGTGGAGGTGCCAAAGTCTAATATTTTATTCAGAATAGAACACAAATCACAGATCAAAAGTTTAAACTGAGAGAATGTATCATTTTAAGGGAAAAATCTGTTGTTTCCAAATTTCATGGCATCAACAAATCCCAAAAAAGTTGGGACAAGTCCATTTTTACCACTGTATGGCATCCCCCTTCTTCTTACAACACTCAACAGACGTCTGGGGACAGAGGAGACCAGTTTCTCAAGTTTAGAAATAGGAATGCTCTCCCATTCATGTCTAATACAGGCCTCTAACTGTTCAATCGTCTTGGGCCTTCTTTGTCGCACCTTCCTCTTTATGATGCTCCAAATGTTCTCTATAGGTGAAAGATCTGGACTGCAGGCTGGCCATTTCAGTACCCGGATCCTTCTCCTACGTAGCCATGATGTTGTGATTGCTGCAGAATGTGGTCTGGCATTATCGTGTTGAAAAATGCAGGGTCTTCCCTGAAAGAGATGACGTCTAGATGGGAGCATATGTTGTTCTAGAACCTGAACATAGTTCTCTGCATTAATGGTGCCTTTCCAGACATGCAAGCTGCCCATGTCACAAGCGCTCATGCAACCCCATACCATCAGTGATGCAGGCTTCTGAATGGAGCGTTGATAACAACTTGGGCTATCCTTGTCTTCTCTGGTCCGAATGACATGGCGTCCCAGTGTTCCATAAAGAACTTCAAATCGTGACTCATCTGACCACAGAACAGTCTTCCATTTTGCCACACTCTATTTTAAATGACCCCTGGCCCAGTGCAAACGTCTGAGCTTGTGGAGCTTGCTTAGAAATGGCTTCCTCTTTGCACTGTAGAGTTTCAGCTGGCAACGGCGGATGGCACGGTGGATTGTGTTCACTGACGATGCTTTCTGAAAGTATTCCTGAGCCCATTCTGTTATTTCCTTGACAGTGGCATTCCTGTTTAAGGTGCAGTGACATTAGATCACGAGCATCCACTAGAGTTTTATGGCCTTGACCCTTATGCACAGCGATTGTTCCAGATTCTCTGAATCTTTTGATGATGTTATGCACGGTTGATGATGATAACTTAAAAGTCTTTGCCATTTTACGCTGGGAAACACCATTCTGGCATTGCTACACTATATTTCTGCGCAACAATAGTGGAATTGGTGATCCTCTTACCATCTTGGCTTCTGAGAGACACTGACACTCTGAGAAGCTCTTTTTATACCCAATCATGTTGTCAATTGACCTAATTAGTGTTAATTGGTCTTCCAGTTGTTAGTTATATGCTCAATTTCCTTTTTCCAGCCACTTATTGCTACTTGTCCCAACTTTTTGGGGATTTGTTGACACTGTGAAATTTTGAATCAACATATTTTTCCTTTAAAATGTTACATTTACTCAGATTAAACTTTTGATCTGTCATCTATGTTATATTACGAATAAAATATTGACATTTGCCATCTCCACATCATTGCATTCAGTTTTTATTCACAATTTGTTTAGTGTCCCAACTTTTTTGGAATCTAGTTTGTAGACATGTTGCTGCTGCAGATCCAATCTCCATGAAACAACGTCAACACACAGCTTTGGATTTGTTCACTTGTCTTTTAACAAGAAAGCCATAATGTTCCCAAACAGGAGACCGCAACGAGAAACTAGAATGTTAATGCTACGCCTGCTGCAAGATATCTCTGTGCTGAAACACGCTTAGGAACTTTAGTTCCACGGTGCATAATCTCTCATTAATAAATTTTAACGAGTGAAAAAAATAACCGAAAACGGTACACACGTGGACCGAGCTGAACGTGCTGTACCGAAACGGTTCAATGCACCCACGTGTACCTTTACACCCCTAATCGTTAGCACCCTGATGGTTGTTTGCTATTCACAGGGGGCTGAGTGATGCTAACAAAAACATAATTGAAAGAGGGTTTCAAGGTTTAAGATTAAAATCAGACACCACTCTGAGCAGCAGGACCACGCTTTCCACAGAACAACTGTGTCAACTCTTGAAACTGTGCCTGCAGTCAACCTACTTCACATATGGGGAGCAATATTATAGGCAGAAACATGGGTGTGCTATGGGGTCTCCAGTTTCTCTTGTTGTTGCCAACCTGTACATGGAGGAGGTAGAAAAGAGAGCCTTGACGTCCTTTTCAGGGACACCACCAAGTCATTGGTTCAGGTATGTTGATGACACCTGGGTTAAAATTAAATCTCAGGAATTCCAACATTTTACTGACCACATCAACTCTGTGGATAAATACTTCAAGTTCACACGAGAAGATGTAAAAAATGGCAGATTGGCTTTCTTGGACTGTGAGGTCTCAGTCTCTGATAGAGGACATTTGCAAACTGAGGTGTACCGCAATCTCACCCACACAGACCAGTATTTGCAGTTTGACTCCCATCACCCTTTGGAGCACAAGTTAGGAGTCATCAGGACTCTGTACCACAGAGCAGACAGCATCCCCACTAACTCAGGAGCCAGGCAGAGGGAGAAACCCCACACAAGACAGGCTCTAGAGCAATGTAGATATCCTAACTGGGCCTTCCCGAAAGCAGAGAAGAAACCCAAACAGGACTCCAGTCAGCCATCAGGTGAAAAGGAGGAACCCAGACCAGTGGTCATTCCATATGTTGAGGGAGTATCAGAGAAACTGAGGCGTTTATTTTCTAAACACAACGTCCCAGTGGCTTTTAAACCCCAAAATACATTAAAGACTGGTTCTTCCCAAAGATCCAGTCCCCCGGCACAAACAGAGTAATATTGTGTATGTTGTTCAGTGTCAGGAGGGTGATCAGTCTTACATCAGGGAAACTAAACAGCCACTGGCCAAATGGATGGACCAGCACAGAAGATCAACATCATCAGGCCAGGACTCTGCGGTCTACACTCATCTCCAGGCCAGCGGTCACTCTTTCAGGGATCAATCAATCAACCTTTATTTAGACAGGTAAATCCCACTGAGCCTCGAGGACTCATTTACAAGAGAGACCTGATTTCAACAAAGAAAGATGACAACACACTATTTCAAGGATGAAGATGTTCACATCCTGGACAGAGAGGAACGATGGTTTGAGAGGAGTAAAGGAGGCCATATTTGTGAAAAGAAATCCTCCATCATTAAACGGGTGGAGCCTCCATGTTCAACTATCCCCCTCCTACAATGCTGTGATCGCTAGTATCACTCAGCCCCCTGTGAACAGTAAACAGTCATCAGGTGCTAATGACCCATTGTTAGGCTGATGGTCCTTCTTGAGCATGTGATCAGCTGGTTTTGGTTGTCAGCAGCAAAACTGGTTGATCCACTCTGAGAAGGCGCTATTTAAGAGACTGAGCTGACTACAGCACCTCAGACTGAAGAAGTCTTTCAGATGGAAGACAAAACGTTTCTACATTTTTTTGCTTTGTTTTGTTTTGTTTTTTTGAACATCCAGAGGACCTAACAACTTTTTTTTTTTAGATTTTACTGAACCATTAATCTGTCGAGCTGAAACACTGTCCTTCCATCCATCATCTTTTACCCGCTTCTTCATTTTTGAGTCTCAGGGGTCACTGGTGCCCTTGTCCAGCAATCACTGTGGAAGAGGCAGGAGGACACCCTGGACAGGTCTCCAGTCCATCAGAGGGACACATAGACAAAAGAGATAAACAACCATTCACGCTCTCACTCACACCTAGGGACAGTTTAGAATTACCAATAAGTCTAACATGCATGTTTTTGGTCTGTGGGAGGAAACTGAGGAGGCTGTTAGACTCATGAATCTCTAACCAAGATAGTCACTGTGAAAAAATATCACATCATGTTGCTGCTGATCTGTTTCATCTTGCTGTGTTTTTTTTGTGTTCATCTGCTCACACAGACTCATGTTCTTGCTGCTGTTTGGCATAATGTTTTTATGCTATTAGTGCTTAGTGTATATTTAGTTGATGTTTTTCTTAGTTCATATCTTAGATGTTATTACTGTTTTTCTTTTACATTTTATTGTTGGATGTAACTGGGACCCTGTGTACATATTTTCGCTCCACCACATGTACCACATGAGGTGCGAATGACAAATAAACAACCTTGAATCTTTGAATCCTTGAGTCTGGAGTACCTGGAAAAAAACCACGCAGCACAGAGAGAACCTGAAAACTCCACCCAGAAAGGCCCCCGGACTGGGACCTGAACCAGGATGACCTGCTCGCTGAGAGGCAGCAGCTCTACCAGTTGTGCCACCATGAAACTCTGCTTTGTGATATTTTTGCATTTAATTTTTAACATAGCATGTTCTTAAACAGACATGTTTGAACAGTGGTATGGCCTGAGGTGGTTAGCCGTGTACACAGATATCTACAGTATGCTCTTTCGTTGAGGAATAAATGAACCTGCAGTGGGACAGATGAAATCAGGATCTGAGTTTATTTACTTAATCAAAGTTTTTTATTGATTTTTTTTTCCATAACACACACAAAGCAAAAACATCCCCTCCCACACTGGGTCAGCTACACAGACATGAATACATCAGAAAGGCATTGACATACTTTCAATATAAGATACAAAAGGAGGCCAAGTGTCTCAAAATCTCTCAACAGAACCTTTCAGACTGTATCTGATCTTTTCCCAATGAATAAGACACACAACTTCTCTTATCCAGTGTTCATATGCCAGGGGATCCTCTCATACTTGCCGAAGGACGTATCCACAGGGACCACCTTAAACAAGGTCAAGGTGTCTTTATTGTTATTCACGCCACATGTGGTACATGTGGTGCAACGAAACTATGTACACAGGGTAAACAATAAAATGAATGGTGATGGGTACACAGTTTTTCCACATATCTCAGAGAAAGTATCAAAAATAGATTACCAATAGCCCCGCAGCTTTGGTCAAGTCCAGAATGTGTGTAAGAGTGTAGCTGGAGTTTCCTTACAGCAGTTCCGTGCAGGATCCAGGTCAGTTTTAATCTTGGATCTGAGTTTATTCATGCAGCTTCTAAACATGTGTATTTAATGTTTCTGTCTTTACCAGAATACAAGGTGAATGGTTCTTCCTACAGCTCCCAGTTAGTCCAGTTCCAGGACTTTCTCCTCAGAGCTAACAAATACAGATGTCTGAAGATGGCAGGCGATGAAGAAGCCACAGACAGGAAGCTCATACTAGTGGAGGTACGTACAGTAACATTAAACTAGACTACAGATTCATGTCCGTATAACATTACACCGAGCTTCTCCTCTCTCTTTCAAAACCAGAACAGGTGATTTTAGCACTTTAGTTTCTCGTTTTTGTAATTCAATTCAATTCAGTTTATTTATAAAGCACCAAGTCACAACAGAAGTCATCTCAGGGAACTAAAAAGAAACATTCATATATAAAAATAATAATTTAACTCTGTTTATCTGAGGAGCAGACAGCTTTGAATTTAACTCCATCACAGAACTCTCATCTTGAACAATCATGAAGGCGACAGTGGAAAGAAACAACTCCCTCATGAGGAAGAAACCTTTAGCAGAACCAGGCACAGAACAAGGGGCCATCTACTTCGACCGGCTGGGTTTGGTAGGAACAGATATACAATGGCAGGTCAAGAATCAAATGTTAAGATAGAAATAGTATCAAATGAAAACTATTCAATTTTAACAATTAATTTAAGGAAATCAGGTCAATTTGTCCTCTAGTAGTCTAAGCTTAAGGCAGCAGAACAAGCCAACCTTAATTATAGGATTTATCAAAAAGGAAAGTCTTAAGCCCAGTTTTAAAACTGGACAATGTGTCAGCCTCATGGACAGAAATGTTGGTTACGTACTGTAACCCCAGATTCTATGAGTATAGGCGCAGCCCTTTAAGGCTATCACTAGTGGGTTTATCCCCTTCGTGCGCAGCGCATCACTGAAAACTTTAGTCCACTCCCACCTGCTGTGTGGGCCTCCCCCCCGGTCCATATAAATTACAGTGAGACCGGGTAATCGGCTCCCAAATAACTTTTTTCTTCAGCCATTTAGGAACTAGTGAGGCCCAGAGCTTAAAGGGCTGCACCTATACTCATAGAATCTGGGGTTACAGTACGTAACCAACGTTCTATTTTGTATAGGCTTCGCCCTTTAAGAGCTGTCGCTGGTGGGTTAAAGGCGAAGCAGGATGTAGTCTATGCCTCACTGGGTCCATTCAGACACAATATGAAGCGCCCGCTTGCACCAAAAAACATTTCATCACTCAGCCTTCTGTGTGCGTAATTACGCGTTCCATGCACAGGAGCGCCCCGGAGAGAAAAGGTCTCTGATGGGGAAAAAGGGATGGCTGAAACGCAGTCCTGCTGCTGAGAATGGAAAAAACAGAGGTTACAAATTGTAACAGTGTAACAATGAACAGAACAGGTCAACAGCTCTTCAATATGAACTGATTAATAACAAAATGAAATGATTAGTAACCAAATGAACTGATTGGTAACAATTCAAACAGCAGTCATGAACTTGTGACTGATAATAAATGTCTCACACTAATTGCATGCAGGCAGGTGTGAGTTTAAAATGAAATTCCATGAAACAAGTAAAACGCTGAGAACAGAATGAGTCATGGAGAAGGCAGAGCCATCACGTAGATAGAAGCAAATAAATGAACAAGGCGATGACCAAGCGGCCGCCGTACAAATGTCCTCCACTGTCATCCCTCCATGCAAAGCTGTAGAGGATGAAATCCCTCTGGTGGAATGAGCACTGAGATTCTCTGGAGGGTCCAGTCCTGATGCTCTGTAAGCTTCAGAAATAGCCTCACACAGCCAGTGTGAGAGGTGCTGAGTGGATAAAGGGCGACCTGCAGAGATGTCCCTGTAATGCACAAACAGACGCTGAGAATAACGCAGTGGGGCCATGCGTGCTATATAACATGTAAGCGCGTGCACTGGACAGAGGAGGTGAGATGATGCTTCCTCCTCTGAATTGTGAGGAGGAGGATAAAACCCCTCCAAGGTTATCATTCTCGATTTAAATGAGCTTGTGATGTTTTTTGGTATGAAAGCTGGGTTAGGTCTCAGCGCAGCTGAGCTGCCATCAGCTTGAATCCTGAGACATGACGGGGCAGCAGAGAGCACAGATAAATTGCTCACTCTCTTTTTTTCATTCAACCTTTATTTAGACAGGTAAATCCCATTGAGCCTCGAGGACTCATTTACAAGAGAGACGTGATTTCAACAAAGAATGATGACAACAATGGGCAACAGCGACAACAATAAACAGCTACAAAAAGTCATACATTTTTTTTTTTTTTACAAATAGGATGGCTAAAAAAAAAAGTAACAAAAAACAGCTAGATTCTAAGGCGAATGTAAAAAAAAAAACCTAAAAACAGGAACATGTCTGCATTGGTCCCTGCCAGGAGTCCAACAGATTCTTAAAGCCACTTAGATAGGTCAAGGACGAGAGCTTCAAAATCTTCTTACAAGCTACTCCAGGAAACAGGAGCGGAGTAGGAGAAGGTCCTTTATTCTAGTTCAGTCCTCACTGAGGGGACACTGCAGGTAATAATGTCCGGAGAGTGCACGCTGTAGCTGCACTCACACAGAGACATGTAGGAGGAGATGTATGAAGGCAGCAGACCAAGAAGTGATTTAAAGATGAAAATGTACCAGTGAGAGAGTCTGCGTGAAGTTAATGATGTCCAGTTAACCAGTGGATACAGAGCGCAGTGGTGGGTACGATAATCACAGCCAGTTATGAATCTTAGTGCACCATGATAGACAACATCCAACATCTGCAGGGTTCTTGTAGGAGCGTTCATGTACAAACCGGATTCCAAAAAAGTTGGGACACTAAACAAATAGTGAATAAAAACTGAATGCAATGATTTGGATATTGCAAATGTCAATATTTTATTCGTAATATAACATAGATGACAGATCAAAAGTTTAATCTGAGTAAATGCAACATTTTAAAGGAAAAATATGTTGATTCAAAATTTCAGTGTCAACAAATCCCAAAAAAGTTGGGACAAGTAGCAATAAGTGGCTGGAAAAAGGAAATTGAGCATATAACTAACAGCTCGAAGACCAATTAACACTAATTAGGTCAATTGACAACATGATTGGGTATAAAAAGAGCTTCTCAGAGTGTCTGTGCCTCTCAGAAGCCAAGATGGTAAGAGGATCACCAATTCCACCATTGTTGCACAGAAAGTTAGTGCAGCAATACCAGAATGGTGTTACCCAGCGTAAAATAGCAAAGACTTTTAAGTTATCATCATCAACCGTGCATAACATCATCAAAAGATTCAGAGAATCTGGAACAATCGCTGTGCGTAAGTGTCAAGGCCGTAAAACTCTAGTGGATGCTCGTGATCTCCGGGCCCTTAAACGTCACTGCACCTCAAACAGGAATGCCACTGTCAAGGAAATAACAGAATGGGCTCAGGAATACTTCCAGAAAGCATTGTCAGTGAACACAATCCACCGTGCCATCCGCCGTTGCCAGCTGAAACTCTACAGTGCAAAGAGGAAGCCATTTCTAAGCAAGCTCCACAAGCTCAGACGTTTGCACTGGGCCAGGGGTCATTTAAAATGGAGTGTGGCAAAATGGAAGACTGTTCTGTGGTCAGATGAGTCACGATTTGAAGTTCTTTATGGAACACTGGGACGCCATGTCATCCGGACCAGAGAAGACAAGGATAGCCCAAGTTGTTCTCAACGCTCCGTTCAGAAGCCTGCATCACTGATGGTATGGGGTTGCATGAGCGCTTGTGGCATGGGCAGCTTGCATGTCTGGAAAGGCACCATTAATGCAGAGAACTATGTTCAGGTTCTAGAACATATGTGTCAAACTCAAGGCCTGGGGGCCAAATGTGGCCCTCGTTGACATTTTATCTGGCCCCCAAGATGATATGTGAAACGTAAAATACTTCTATCTCTTGAATTTTTGCAATAATCTTTGATTATGATACCAAAAGCACAACATAGAACATCAAATTATACCAATCAAACTCTTGCTGAGGAACCTGTGACCAAGAAACTTTGTTGGGTATCTGATTTGAGTTAATGTAGCTTCTGATATTGGCCCTTGGTTTGAAAAAGGTTTTAATTTTGGCCCCCTTTCGTAAGTGAGTTTGACACCCCTGTTCTAGAACAACATATGCTCCCATCTAGACGTCATCTCTTTCAGGGAAGACCCTGCATTTTTCAACACGATAATGCCAGACCACATTCTGCAGCAATCACAACATCATGGCTACGTAGGAGAAGGATCCAGGTACTGAAATGGCCAGCCTGCAGTCCAGATCTTTCACCTAGAGAGAACATTTGGCGCATCATAAAGAGGAAGGTGCGACAAAGAAGGCCCAAGACGATTGAACAGTTAGAGGCCTGTATTAGACATGAATGGGAGAGCATTCCTGTTTCTAAACATGAGAAACTGGTCTCCTCTGTCCCCAGACGTCTGTTGAGTGTTGTAAGAAGAAGGAGGGGGGGGGGATGCCACACAGTGGTAAAAATGGACTTGTCCCAACTTTTTTGGGATTTGTTGACGCCATGAAATTTGGAAACAACAGATTTTTCCCTTAAAATTATACATTCTCTCAGTTTAAACTTTTGATCTGTGATTTGTGTTCTATTCTGAATAAAATATTAGATGTTGGCACCTCCACATCATTGCATTCAGTTTTTATTCACTATTTGTTTAGTGTCCCAACTTTTTTGGAATCCGGTTTGTAGAATATCATGGAAAAGTTGTTTAACTTCCATAATTCCATTCAAAAAGTTAATCTTTAATAGATGATAGATTCAGGGCCCACAATTTAAACAATTTCAAGTATTTATTTGTTTATTTTTGCATAATTTGGGCTTCCAGCACATGAAACCCACGAAAACAGGATTTAAAAAAATTAGAATACTGTGAAGACATTCTCTCAGTTTAAACTTTTGATCTGTGATTTGGGTTTTATTCTGAATAAAATATTAGATGTTGGCACCTCCACATCATTGCATTCAGTTTTTATTCACAATTTGTTTAGTGTCCCAACTTTTTTGCAATCCGGTTTGTAAATAATGTCACCGTTATCAATGGAGGAAAGGAAAGTCACAGATCCAAGGTGTTTTCTAGCATTCAGAATTAGACAGGGTCTGTTTCTGAAAAAGAAACCCAGTTTAACTTTCAGTTTCTTTACCAAGTTTTCCACATGGAGCTTA